CCCTTAATTCTTCCTAGATCCCCCTCAGACATGTAAAGATTTTCTACCAACTAAGTGTCCTCTTTATTTTATTGTTTGCAATCCAGAGATTTCAGTTCGTGTTCTCCATATATTCATGAGTGTAGTGATATCAAATGGAGTGTGGTTGCCTTACCAGGGGCCAACCCTTAAAGAAAACCACCTCTCCCTTATTAGAACCCATCATACATCAATAACTTCTCAGTTAGTGCTAGGATATTGACAGTCCCTCCCCCTCACTGTTGAAATATTGACAGTCTAGATCATTTCTAAATCTTGTCAGAACAACTTTAATTTTACAAAAAAATAACTTGTTTAGAAAAAATGGTGGTATTTCAGTGCCCAATGTGCCTAGAAGAAATTACTCACTTAGGTATTGAGTTCTTTTTTTTTTTTAAGTGTATGCATTATACTTTTACTTGTACATACCTCATGATCATGAACAAATGGATGGTACACGCACTGGGATAACATGATTGCTGCAGTGTCACAAGATGTACATCCAGTTGATGTATAATCTCAGGGAACCACTATCTTATAAACAACTTATTGTCCAAAGTTTAATTTATGTGATATGTGATTATACAATCAAGTATGAATGGGACATTTTTTTAATTATTATTTTATTTAATTTTATATAACAAAGTCCAATTAAATGAAAACAAACATTTATACACAATATTTGGGAATTTGGGTCGTTCTTTCCAAACTACTTCCTGCTGGTAAGGGGTGCTCTCATGGGGGATTCGAAGAAGATTCAGATATCCTGGCTGTAGTCTGTAGGGCTGTTTTGTCCAGCTGTTTTGAATGTAGGATCAGCTTGTACTCTGTTTCAGGCGGTCTGGCGTGATCAAACCACATTAGTCTGGAAGGAATCCACATCTTTTCATTTTCTGTGGGAACAAAAATAGAAATCCTTTTCCCCAGTAACTTGTCCTTCAACTGAGCTCCGGGACTTGTCCCTTCAGGTATTGAGTTCTTACATATTTCTTTTCTTTCCATGCTTTCTTTAATAACTTTCCTAAAAAGTGGTGCTAACTTTCTTGCTTTTATTAGATATTTCTACAATAAACTTATCAATTGTTAAAATAACCAAATACTTATTGAAAGTTTTCAGATTTATTGCATTCCAGTGTTTTGACATTTTGGAATACTGTATTTTACATAGTATTTATTTATAAATCTATATTGTAAAGATCATTATTATATACCACTTTTGAAAAATTATTACTCTTCAAAATGGACTGTGAATTTTTATTTGTTACTAATTATTTTAACAGATGCTTGGTACTAAACTCCCATCACTCAAAGCTAATCACCGTACTTTATATAAAGCAAGAAACTTTTCATGTATATCAACTGCTTGATAGATTTTTATTTTACAAAGTTAATAAAAGCAATATGTATTGATGTTTATTAACTTAGCTGAAACAGTATAATAGTTTTCATGAAGTAAGCTCTTTTGTTTTCTGCTATGGAATAGTAGTTAGAATGATGGAATAGTATCTATTGACTTGCTATGAATGGAACTTCATCTCCCCTAAAGGTCATTTGTTGATTCCATAATTATATTTAGCAATAGAGCCTGCAGGAGGCCATTCAGTGCTTCCTTATAGAAAGGGTATCTTTTTATTTTTTTCAACTCCAAAGCAGCTTTAATTTTTAACTGGACTGGGACTACAAAAAGACCATTTGCATTATGTGTTCAAGAGAAAACCAAAAACAAACATTTGGAAAGATTTATGAAATTTTAACATGTTGATAATGTCAATAACAATAGGCCAAATTACTCTTTTTTCTTGGGATTATTTTTTTCTGGATGATTTGTCCTTTTTCTTCAGATGTCTCATTTGTCCAGTGATCTTCAGATTCCTTAGCTGGATGCCTTCATTCTTCTGAAAAGACAAAAACAAAGCCCTTCCCCCACCCTAATTTTGAGGAGGTTCCCTTATGGCAAGGAATATCTGACCAAATGAAAATCATTGGTTAGTTTTTTTTTTAATTTAATTTATTATTTTACATGTCGATCCCAGTTCCCTCTCCTTCCCTCCCCCCCTTCCTCCCTACCTCCCTTTTACCTTTCTGCCCCTTCACATGCACCCTGACCACCCTCCCCTCCCATCCTCCACCCCAATTCCACATGTTGGGCAATGCCACCCAGGTGGGGTCATGTACATCTGTCAAGTCATTTGAAGTAGGGACTAGGACTTCTCTCCTGTATCTAGGTTAAGGCAGTATCCCTCCATGGGGGATGTGCCTGAAAGGTCTTTTTGTGCACCAAGAATACATCCTGGTTCCACTGTCTGAGGTCCCTTAGACTGTTCAGGCCTTCTAGCTGAGAACCATGTTCAGGGGGTCTGAGTCAGTCCTATGCTGGATTCCCAGCTATCAGTCTGATGGCCTGTAAGCTCCTCCTTGTTCAGGTCAGCTGTCTCTATGTGTTTCTGCAACCTGGTCTTGTCCTCTCCCTCTGCATCTGGATTCTAGTTCAACTCAGTGATTAGTTATGGGTGTTTGCTTCTGTTTCCAACAGGTACTAGATGAGGGCTCCATGATGGTGGATAAGTTAGTTGTTGATCTCACTATCCAGGAAGGGCATTTGTGGTAGCCTTTCCACCGTTGCTCAAATTGTTAGTTGGCGGCAGTCTTGTAGGTCCCTAGACCTTTCTTTAGGTTCAGTTTTCTCTTCAAACCAATAATGGCTCCGTCTTTTATGTTTGTTCTCTCTCTCTCTTTCTCTCTTCTTTGGATTAATAAAACATTGAGAGATATCAATATGAAAATAAATGAAATATTAATGGAAATTTCTAATAAAGTTTAGAAGTTGCAAGAGGCAGGAAGAGATTCTGAGATTGAAAAGTAGGACAAGAACACAGTTATAGCTGCAGTGATGAACACATTCCATAGTTTATTATTAGCATGCATCTAGCCTTTTCTTTTACCTAGACTTTCTAATATCAAAATATGATATGGATATCCTCTTCAGAATAAAGCAATGTCTCAAAGGAACTTTGGCATGCACATTTGTTTACCTGGGAGAGATTTTTCATTAACACTACTATACAGGAACACTTTCCTTATTTACAGAAGTTAGGGAGGAATACTCAAAGGAATGGAGAGCAACATAAAAAAAAATACATGGTGTACTGAAGTCATGATAAATTAACATCCATCCTTAGTTTGCAAATGCTCCTCATTGAAAACCACTTAATAAGTTGTCAATAAACATAATGGGCACATTTGGCCTAGAAATACTGCTTTCACTTCTTTAACTTGCTTCCCTTTGGAATAACTTTTATGTAGCAGATAAAATGTATGTACCTTGAAATGCATGTTCTCGATTCCCAGCATACCAATGTTTGGTTTGGAAACAGAACCAATGATGTGGTATGAACACATACTGAAAACTCAGCCTGGAACTCTTTCAAGTCCCAAAGCCTCACCAAGGCACAAAAGTCTTGCTTTCCTGGTGCTTTTATTCCAGTAGAGCCAAATTGTCTTGCAGACCTATCAGACCATGAGGCAGAAGAATGAGATTGTGCTGGTTGCAGAAGAAACAGTTGGAATGTGATTGCTAAACAGAATCTACCACATGGTATCAAAATAAGTTAAGAAAATATTCTTGGGCCTTCATGGTTGCCCACACCTATAATACCAGAATTGAGAAGGATGGGGCAGGAGGATTGCCATGTGACTGGTGCACTTTGATCTACATAATAAGTTCCACATCAGCTTGGAGTGATACCCTGTCACAAAACAATCAGATGAAAATCTTGAGATCTCCTGTGAATGTCAAATCTTTGAGCATATTAGAATCTACATCAGGGGTAATCACACTCTGTTTCAAAGCATCTCTCTATTTTCTATTTTGTAGATAAATAAATTCTCTAATGTTTTCACTATATACACATTACTAGACATCTTTATTTATTTCACAATATGTTGCTAGTAAAACGCAAGCACAGTTGCTTTCTCAGTTGTCATTTTAAATTCCCAGACCTTGTATTTATTTTCTTTATTGTATAAAAATAATTTAATGATTTTAATCATATATTATATGATATACTATAATTGTAATTTTCAAATGCCCATTTCATTAAAATTTTATTTTGCACACAAGACCTATAAGTTCCTGCTGCTACAGAAAATTGACAGTCTGGTAGCAATATCTGCTAGTAATTTTCAGCTAAACCGTTTCACTCATAATATATCATAGTAAGTGGATCTGCACAAAGAGCTTCTGATTCATTCCAATCACAGCATCATGATTATGAGACCACAGGAGTTCACCTCAGTCCCCACCATGTCCCATCTCAGAAGAATAAAGCCATATTTGAACATTTCTAAAACCAAACAGTAAAGCTTTTATATGCATAAGGAAATCCATTTATTTTATTGCAAAGAACACTAAAATAATGATCCATGCTCAATATAACAGTGGATCAATATGGATCTATTCATGGTTTGGCCCATTATATTCTTTTCTTGGGAGCCTCTTTCTCAGGGCAGAGAGAATAGGGAGGCTCCAAAGGCATGGCAGAATGACGCAAAGCATTTACTCAATGGCTCTATCTTTCTACATTAGTGACTCGCAAACTTGAACCATGTTTTAACCTATTCACTACCATTTTCTTTCCATTGCTTCTCCATAATCAGAAGTAATCATGGAAGAGGTAGGAACATGACATGGGTATATGCTTTTAACTCCAAAGTACTTATAATGTAATGTACCCTCAGCACATGTTACTCACTTGGCAGAATCACTGCCATGTGCATTTCATTAACTAATCTTAAAGATAAGGGTTTTCAATTCATAGAAATTAAGACAGTTGCAGAAGTACCATGCCAATTCCCCAGGGAGGAACATGTCCCCATCTGATACTTTATGTGAAGGATCCATATGCTTTGGATGGAACTAAATGAAAACTGTCAAAACACACCAACAGAAGTACTACGTGATCTTACATGAAAATCTAAAAGTTGTGCTCATTTTGACAGCACATATACTAAGTTGGGATGATACAGAAAAGATTAGCATGACCCCTGCACAATGATGACAGGTGAATTTGTGAAATGTTTCATATTTTTGCAATGGAGACTTCCTGGAATCTATGAGGGTGATTCTAATGATGACTCCTAGTAATGGGGGATATGGAGTCTTAACTGGCCATCTTGTAGCCAGCAAGGCTTCTAGTGGAGGGGCTGGGCTATATTCAGTTGGTTGGGAGATCTTGTGAAGCTAACACAGAGGCTCTCTCTCCACAAAGAGACAGTGGGGGTGGGGTCCATTGCCAAGGACAACATCCTCATAATTCATTGAATGTGGTGAGGTTGAGTAGCACCTACATAGAGCCTTCATTCCTTATGTTCTAGTCTCTTTGGTTTTGGAAGTTATTCTGCAGGCTACCAAAGGAGTAAAGTGAACACCAACCCAGCCATGAAACTTTCAACCAACAGTCTGCCCTGCTTGCAAGATGCATTGGGACAATGGTGGCACAGAACTTTTAGGAATAGCCAACCAATGTCTGGTTTAACATGAAGCCCATACCACCATAGGGAACCTATGTTGGACACTGCTTGGATGGCCAGGAACTGGAGACTGGACAGCCCAAGAACTAGGGTATAAGCAAACATGACTGATTTAAAAAAATCAGTGGAACGATTTCTAATGATATTCTGCTATACTCATAGATGGGTGCCTTGTCCACTTGTCATCAGGGAAGGCTTCAAAATGCAGAGGCACAGGCAGACATTATGTGGAGCAAGAGTCTAAATTGGAAGCCTCCATCAGGTCCCTCACCTGGGAGCTCTGTGAATCCCACGGAAGAGGGGGCAGAAAGACTGTAGGAGTCAAAGGATGGAGGACACCATTAGAACAAGGCCCACTGAATCAACTAATCATGGCTCATAGGGGCTCACAGAGACTGAAGCAGCAAGAATGAAATCTGCATGGGTCTGCACCATGTCTTAGGCATATATGTTTTGGCTGTTTGCTTGCTTTGTGAGACTCCTAACAGTGGGAGAAGAAGTGTCTCTGAGACTTTTGTTTGCTTTTAGGATGTCTTTCTTTTGTTGGGTTGCTTTGCCCAGCTTTGGTGTGAGGACTTTTGCCTTTTCTTATTTACTGTATTTTGTTTTGCCCTGTTTGGGTGTTGTCTCTTGGAGGCCTGCTTTTTTTCTGCTGTAAGATGGAGTGGGAGAGGAGTGTGGGAAGGGTGCAGTGAGGGGATACTGTGGTCGGGATGTACTGGTCATGGTTCTCAGGCACTGAGAAGAGTTTCAGGGCAATAATGATGGGTCACAGTTGATAGTACTAAGTTTAAAGTGGCTGGAATGTGACTCTACCTTAGATACAGAAGAACTCCTTTGTAGAAAATGACTAAAGCGTGAGTCCAAGAAGTCCCTTGGCCAAGTTTAGCCAATCATCCAGTTTCAAACCTAGCTTTATAAGGATAGGGAACCCAGTCTTATAACTTATAAGATACTGACCATATATGACTAAAATGTCAACATCAGGTGGAATTGTTACTAGTCCTGTCCAATCAACATGTCTCTATGTAACTGCCCCTTGGCAGCCCAATTACAACAAAGATTATCTCACCAAACTCAATATCCCCCAAGTTCCTTGGTAAAAGGGACTGTAAACCTTTGTTCCAGGTTGTCATGGTCATTTTTTCCCTTCTTGTGATTTTTCTTTTCTTTTAAAATTTTTATTCATTTTATATATCAACCACAATTTCCCCCCCTTCCTGCTCCCCCTCCCCCCTCCCCTGCCTCATGATGTCTCCACTCATCCACTCCTTAGAAAGGGTAAGACCTCCCAGGGGAGTCAACAAAGCCTGGCACATTAAATTGAGGCAGGATCAAGCCCCTCCCATCTGGATCAAGGTTGAGCAAGGCATCCCACCATAGAGATTGAGCTCCAAAAAGTCAACTCACACACCAGGGTTAGATCCTGGTTCAACTGCCAGGGGTCCCACAAACAAACCAGGCTAGACAACTGTTATCCACATGCAGAGGGCCTAACCTGGTCCCAAGCAGGATTCCCAGCTGTCAGACAAGAGTCTCTGACCTCCCAGGAGCTGGGGTCAGCTCTCTCTGAGGATTTCCCCATCATGATCTTGTCATTTCCCCCAACTGCTTGCTCATATATTCCCCCTTCCTCTCTTAGCTTGGCTTAGTACTTGGCTTTGGATCTCTGCATCTGCTTTTATTAGTTACTGGACTAGAGATCTATGATGACCGCCAGGGTGGTTACCAATATGATTATAGGGGAAGGCCAGTTCAGATACCTTCTCCTCTATTGCTAGGAGTCTTAGCTGGGGTCATCCTTGTGTATTCATGTGAATTTCCTTTCGCCTCACTCCATAATGCGGTGAGGGAGTCATTGCCATTTTGTATGGATTATCAACTCTTGCATGCTGTCTATTTGTGCAGAATGAATACTTTTTGTGTTTTCATCCTATTTTAGTTTGGGATCTTTCATCAGCAAGGGTCCAAGAACTGCACTGTAAGGACTTCATATCCTATTACAAAGATACTAGTACATCAGTGCTTGCTGATACTGTAATTACAATGACTTAGAAATGAATACACCTAGATGGTCTATCAGCTTAGCACTAGACAAGGAATGTTGTGCCTACTGGGAATCCTCTCAACCTCCAAGGAAGTGAGTCCTGACTGCAAAAGCTAAGAATCAAATCAGCTGGGACCTCACTCTATCGGAAGAGTAAGGCACCTGCTTACAATTGCAAAGTATTTTTAAAAGGAGGCTTGAGACCAATAGTCTCAGCTCACAAGGTTACAGAGTACAAAGTTTCTTTACAAGGTCGGCAGGCTCAGTGGCCTTGTTCTCAAGATAATGGGGCAAAGATAATGGGGCTGGTGGTGGGCTCTGTCTTTCTTCTTTATCTCCTAAGAACAGCAAGGGGCTCTGTACTCCGCAGTCAGAGAGTTAATCTACTGGCAGAAATTCTTGTTCTAACTTTCCCTTCTTGCCATAAGCCCTAATTTAGTGATATATCCATCCTGCCCACACCTGTTTGTTGCACTGATCATGCCCATTAGAGCATGGGGACAAGTGCTGGCATGATGATGGGGGACTAGGTCTGGGACCCCAATTAAAAATATAATTGGAGCGGATAATATAACACATGCAATATGAAAAGAGTGGAGGAACATTGGGGACTACGGTTTAAGTAGAGATGAAGGACAGGGGAATGGAAGAGAGGAGGGAATAGGGCATTGATTAACCAAACTAAGTGTATTAGTTGATTTTACATTGCTGTGATAAAATAGCATGACCAAGGAAACTCAGAGAAGGAAGTGTTTGTTTGGGATTTTGCAGTTCCTATGGGCTAGGAACCCATTATCAGGCAGCAGGTAAATGAAAGCTCACATGTAGGTCCACAAAGCAGAAAGCAGGGATGCTAGAAATGACCCAAGTCTTTTGAAGTTTCAACGCTGTCCCCAGCGACACACCTCCTCCAACAAGACCATACACCCAATCCTTTCCACATAGTTCCACCTAGTGGGGACCAAGATTTAAAATATATGAGTAGATGGTACCATTCTCATTCAAACTTTTGCACTAATAAAACTAAAAAAGGCCTATGGGAACTCGTTAGTTTGCATGCTAATTACAAAACAGAAAAAAATGGAGTTTGAACAGTGGTGGCCTGCATAAGTGGCCAGAGCTACTTCCCACAGCTATAGAATATTAAATGAAAATCTCAGTGTTAGACATTGGATACTTCTCTATGAGTGTTTGGTTAGGGACACCCTAGAAAAGACCAAACAATACAGAATATCACCATTGTTCCTGGTTTTCCAGCACCACTAGATGGTAAGTCCTCAGTGCTATAGATACCACACACTTGGGTTGCAGGTAATAGAGAAATCAATCTCAAACTTGATGGGAATATTCTTTCTGATGGATAGCTCTCACAGTGACAGAAGATGCTGTAAAGGTTTCTAGGGTAGAAAAGGCATCAATAAACTCATTCCGTGTTGAACCTTCATACCATACTCCTGAACAGACAATCATGATATGTCCACTTGTGTGGTAGGATCTAACCACTTTCTGATTGTGTTTGAGAGCTACTCCTAAGGGGAAAGTCATGCCTGGTACTGTATGAATGATCCCAAGCCTAAGACCGAAGAAGTCATAGGTCCCAGAAGGGAATCAGGGAATCTGCTATTGTTTTACAAAATGTCAAGCAGCCTTCTAAATAGTTTACAAATATTTAGTTTATTCCTTCCACTGTGGCTTTGGATGCTGCTGCTGTTGTATACCTTTCCTCTTCAGTAATTGGTTTATAAGGGGCTTTGCCATTTCTTTCTAATGGATTTTAAGATCTGACATTTATCGTTGGTATTTTGATGTTTATCTTTTGCTATTTACTTTTGAGCTTATTTTTATTTGTCTTTTTTGGCAAGATATATACTTCTCAGAAGTGGTGTTTATGATTTAAATTGACACAAAAAAGAATTTATTGGCCAAAATAGTGTTCATCTTTGTACTGTAGAAACATTATAGGTTTGCCTTTCACATTTAGGGAATTATTACACCTCTAATTAACTTTTGCTTAGTTGCAAAGTAGTGTGTGTCTATTATGAACATCACAAACCACTTGTGGTTTGAATGGGAATGCCCCCATAGACTCATACATTTCAGTACTTAGTCCCCAGTTTGTGGAACTCTTTTTGAAGGAAACGAGGTGTAGCTTTGTTGGAGGAGGTGTGTTACTGGGGGTGGGCTTTGAGGTTTCAAAAGACTGGAGCCATAACTAGTCCTCCACCCCCTCTCTCCCACATGTCTGTATGCGAGTTCTCAGCTATTATTTCGTTCTGCCATTGTGGACACTGACTCTTTGAAACCATAAGACAAATTAGATGATTTATTTTATGTTACCTTGATCACTGTGTTTCATCCCAGCAATAGAAAAACAACTAAGACACCAAGCCATCTTAAAATATATAGCAACATTTGCATGGTCTGGTAAAAACTGGCTGGAAAGTGAAAGGAGCAGAAAGAAAGGTCTACAGTGCATCACAGAGTTCTCAGCCAAAGATAAAGGAGTTAAACA